ATGTGGTCCCTCACTTTAGAAGTCTAGTCAGGTGAGAAACAAAGATATTTTTGGCCTTTTTGCTTTTAGAAATTAAAAAAAATGTAATCTCTAATGTAATGTAAACTGTATTCTCATCTCTGGCGGTAAGCAAGATAATGAAAATCTATTTTAAAATGTGGGTGCCCATTGAAGAGTTATTGTTAAAATCGGATGCTGCTGTTTCTCAATGACTCTGTAGTAAAAGTCCTAGATCTGAAACATGGCTGTTGAAGAATTCGAGGAGATTGCTTCCCTTGAATCAATCTTGACTGGGCATGAATTTGGGGAACTCGACTCAAATTTAGATGCAAGTGAGGGAGGATTTTGAGGAAATTAATAAAAAAAAAAAATCAGGAACAAACTGTGTACATCCAAGCATTCTAAATAACCTTAAATATGAAATTACTGAACTAACAGCGATATGTAGCAACTGGCTGTGATACCAGAGAAACAAATGTGATACTAATTTTAGGAAGAGCTTCAAAACTAGCCCTGAAAACTATAGATCAGCCAGTCTAGCTTCTGTGCCAGGAAAATTGCTGGCAATTCTAATAAAAAACTAGAATTTGTAGAGAGAAGAACAAACCGGATAAACAGTCAGAGAAAAAGGAGCCCCAGAGATAGCCAGAAAAAGGGACTTTTTGGAGTGTGACTATGATATGACTGTAACAAACATTTTGCATAGTACTGTTTAAGGCTGATGCTTTTCCTTTGCTGTATGTTTTGCTAACATGCTTTTTTGCCAGTTCTGCGCTTCTATCTGTTGTAGAGGATTTAGAGGTGACATTTGTATATAGCTCTTAAATATTGAAATCTCTGGAAGAAAACTTCTCAGACGTGAACTTCTGTTATCCTTTTTTTGATAATATGCGCAGGAGCAGAGGAATAAATGAGACCAATGGTCTGCTTTGCTGAAAAGCTTGTTTCTGACAGTCCTCAAGTAGGTAATTCATGACATGTCTCAGATAACTTGCTTTCGGGGAAACGCCGCAGAAGTTAGTGGTTGCATTATTCTGTGAAGCTAGCAATGAACCCAAATCTGTGCTGCAGCAGTTCTGTTACTGCATCTCTCCGAATCACCTTCCTGTCCGTTGGACCCTTGTCATTTGTAAGCAGCAGTCTGAATTTTATCTCCAGTGGCGCGCTTTCGAGTGAACGGTGCAGACTGTGTGCAGACGGTAAGGTCTCGCCCTGGCAGCCCCCAGACTGGAAGGTACGCCCGCACCCCGTCCGCTGAAGCACCGCGTGGGTCTGGTCCTTCGGTGTCAGTGGGGTGCTCCAGAGGGGTTCGGGACAAGCCCGAGCATAGCACCAGTACAGCCCGCTCCCAACTAAACTTGCCTAAATTCTACTGGGGGAGGGTGAACGGCTCAGCTGAAACAGGCAGGAAAACCAGGAGAAGCTGGAGGTGAGCACAGGCTTGCAGGGCCAGCCCCTGCCTGCGGTGCGTGATTTAAGCTGGCGTTCGAGTGGGCGCCCGGGTGTTCTGTGTGGCTCCGTCTGTGCTGGTTCTCACCTGGGCAGAGAGCTCAGGCTTCTCCGGGCAGTGCAGCTCTGCAAAGCCCAGTGGGATCCAGTCACGTTCTTTCCGGTGGTTTAATGGGTTTTGGTTCAGGCCCAAAACATTTCCCTATTTCCTCCAATACCCTTTTGACCTTTGAATTTAATTTGTCATTTTTGAGGACCAGCCTGTTCATAATCTAAATGAGAAAACACACGCACAGAAACATCTTTGAAACGAAAGTTGCTACATCACTGTGCTCGGGTGGGAGTTGCATTTTAACTAGTTATATGGTCCATGAAATACCAGATGCAAGGAAGTAAATGAAAAGGAATTAGATTGAGTTTCTCCTTTGCCTCTGTGTGCCAGGTGATGCCACAAGTCAGTACTTAGCACAATTGATGTGATCTGGTGGTTTCAAATGCACATGCAAACAGTAGATTAAAAAAGTAATGTAGAACAGTTGCTGTAGTCCAGCGTTTAATCAACATGCATAACAGGGTAAACTAAAATGTTTGTTTAAAGTTTAATTTATTGTTAGGAGGCACCTGTGAGATTATTGTGAAACCCCAGATAAAATTCCTGTAAATCCACGATCTCTTTGTTTTCTTGGATTTCTTTTTTTTTTTAAATTGTTCTTTCTTTCCTTGAGTATACTTTTGTGCACGGTAACTCAGCCTAGCAGTAGACATTTATCTGGAACTATCCCATTGAAAGACATGTAATAGAAGTACAGCGGCATTTAAATTTAGAGCCAAAGAAAACAAGGGAGATCAATCTCTTGTTGAGTAATTAAAACGCGCCCTGCCTAGAGAGCCCAAGGGTCAGGCTGAACATGTTATGCAATATGTATCTGAGTGTATACCTTCTACAAATGTGAATGGATTTAGAGTATTAAAAACTTAAGCCTACTGTCACTCTACTTTGTTATTCCTTCCAGAGGAGGAAGTAAGATAAGGTTGTGCTAAGAACTATTTAAAAATATATCTGCTAATTATGGAGTCTCAGTTTTTGTGTTCAACTCTCGTACCTTAGGTTCAGTTTTTGGAAGCTCTGATCTTTGGTAGCTGCGGTGATGTGGCTCTGTTGGCTTTCCAGAGATGCAGGACATTCCTGGAGCAGAGCGGGGGGGAGGCCTTGCTTGTGTGGTCTGCGTGGTCTGGTTCTCCACGTTTGTTGGTCCTACAGTTTTTCACCAGTAAATAGAAATGCAATTTGTTCACTTTGGATTGTTCGATGTACGCATTAAAGAGAACCTTTAGTAGATTGACTTGGGAACTGGAAAAGACTGGAGAGGTTCTCGCGTTTCGTGTTGGGCCCATTTGTATTGCTCTGGACACAGCAGGGGACAGTGCCCCCCTACGTCAGGGGTCTCTGAAGGGGAAAAGGTTAGCAGAAGGTAGCGTAGCCCAACCGTTCTGGCCACTTTGGCAGCGTAGTCCCAGGAGTCTTTCGGACTGAATGGCACTCTAGAGCCGTCCTAGTACCGGCTGCTTGGTCTCTCTGAAACCTTGGTGGTGCGGCATGGCGAAAGAGATCCACCCAGGTCTTTAGCTGTGACCTGCGTGGGCCGATACTGCGCTGAGCGATGAGTTGTCCAGTGCTGGTGCTTTCTAACCCAGGAGGGGCTGGTTCTCCAGAGACGGCCACCGTCCCTCACCACGCAGCTGTCTTCTGATGCCCCGGCTTGGGTGAGAACTCGCCGCCGTCCCTCAGGCACAAAGCGTGCTCTCCACAGGAAGGCCAAGGTGGTGAAAGGTGGCAGCTTGCCGAGCGCCAGAGCAATAGTGTCAGGATTCGTGCAGGCAGATGAGTGTGCTTGCTGGCCTTTTGTGCAAACTCTTTGGTTTCCTGCAGAGTACATTCAGTTTTTATTTAGCTTGAGCAAATCTGTCACATCATAGAGTAAATCCGATGATTTTGGGTAAAGTGTAGTGTACTTGGGGGGGGGTAAAAGAAGTATTCTCATCAATGCACGCTGTACGTCAGACAAACTGCTGCCATATGGTGACAGCCAGCAAAAACATACTACAGTAATGCAAGCTTTCTAGCCTGTAAATACCACAGAAATCACGAATCTTGCTCTGTACAAGTTTTGTGCAATTGAATTTATTAATATGTATGTGGGACAAGCATTATTGGCTGTTTATTTAAATAAATATTCTAGAGTCACTGTTGTGTTCAAATAAATGGTCCCTGAGACAGGTAGGACAGTTCCTAGTCTTGCTGCCATGGGTTAGTTTTCCTGAGTAGTTCGTGAGTTCTGTTGGTGTAACGGCCAAATGGAGAACTGTTTTTTTGAAACAGGATTTTTTGTTCATGACCAAATTAGTGCTTGGACAGGCGACATTTTAACAGACATGTAGCTGAATCCTAGTTGAGAAAATGGTTCAAAACAGGAGGGAAGACTTAAGTGTATTTTTTGACACCTGAAATTGAAGCCACTTTGTTTTCTGTGTAGGTATTCCAAGTGATGAATTTGATATGCAGTCCCTCTGATGGTGGGATCATTAAAGAAAAGGGAGGTACCACAAAGAAATGGATGGAAATATGGATACCAAAGGAGGCTTTGGCTGAAAACACAAATAAGTAGTCTTCATCAGAACAAAGATTTGCACCCAAGTTAATAACGTGTGTGCTAGCTTTCAAGCCAGTGAAAATACAATGGAAACTGTCCTGTCTTAAAAATCTGTTTTGGTGCTAGCAGTTTCTGTTAATGTAAGTAGACTGAAGAAAGCAATTTTTTTGTGTTAAATACCAGACAATAATGTCTGAGAGCTGGCAATGGAGACCGCAGGAAAATTCCTTTGTGTAGGCGAAGTCTGATAAGTGATATGCCTGGAGCCGGAGGTTGGACTAGATGGCCTCTGGAGGTGCCTCCCAACCCAAGTTATTCTTACAGGTCTTTGCAAAAGCTGCCAGAAACTTTCTCACTGTCACATCTATCAGCAGTTAGGAGGCGGCCGAAGGAAGGGGAGCGTGGGGCGCGTGGTGGGCAGTGGGAGCATGCAGTGGTGCAGGAGTTCTGGGACCTCGCTCTTCAACAGGGCCCGTGGGAGGGTGGCCAGGGAGCTGGGTCTGTGCCTGCCGGACTCAGCCAGCAATCCAGCTCTGAATGTTGTGTGGCATGGTGCTGACCTGCTGAAGGTCAGAGTTTCTTATCAGAGGCGGCTGTTGTGGGAGCTGGTCTTGGAGGAGACCTGCAGGGCTGGGCTCTGTTGGACCCTGTGCCTTGGTGGTGGTATGCCGTTCGATGCTGTATCTTGTGTAGAAGTCACTTGTTTCTGATACGAATCTTCTGGAGGCAATAAGATGTTACCTTTACATAATCTAATGGGCATTTATCTGACAAAATGCTGGGCATGATTCATCAAGACAGCATTTTCTGCAGCAAACTATCGGGTAGGTCTTTATAACTTAAGCTGTAATTATTTGGCTGTCAATGGGATTATATGCATCTGTATTGATTTTATTTCAGATTTCTTGCAAGCTACAATAGCCTTACAGACAAACACCTGGTTGGATATTTCAGCAATACCAGGATAAGACGGCATCTTCAGAGATCAGGACTGGTGAGATTGAAAAGTTTCTTTTTCTGAGAAAAAAAGAAAAGAGTTCTTTAATATTGCACAAGTCAAACCACTGATGGTTCTGTTGGTTATTTGTTAGAGGTATGTTTGTCATTGGTAAGAATTTCACCAGCTAGCCAAACATGTGAAATTATGCTGTGCCAGATCAAAGCCACACGATCACACTGAGACTGAGGGTAGGTTTGTTCAATCCAAGCATTTCCCACTGCATTATTACCTACCGTTGGTCAGCTAGGTACTGCGGGGACACAGGTGGTGCATAAGGCTGTGCTTAGCTCCCTGTGCTAAGTGGTTTTTGAAACACTACTAACAGCTGAGGAAATACCGTAGCTGGCATTGAGCACATTTCAGGATGTCAAGGTCTGAGGGCCACCTGGGACTATGAAGATGCTGGCCTGTGGGCTGCTGGTGGATGATGATTGCATACTAGAAGTGATGTGCTAACAGTCAATCTGGAGGCCATACTCCAGAGAATACCATGTTTACACTTCCACTGCACTTTCTGTAATGCAACAGCCAGAACGCTTATCTGCGAGAAACTGGAAACAGTGGCTGACATGGATTGGTGCTGTATGTAGACATTGGAGAGCCTTGGCTTGGCCCTGAGCTTCTTCTCAGTAATGCAGTTTCAGTAAGTTATTGCATATTACTGCACAATTACAGTGACGTGAGTATATTTGTCAATCTGCTTGTATTTCATATCCAAGCAGAAGCAGATATTTTATGGTGAGGTTTTGATAAATTCAGAATGTTTTTGTGTTTCTGCTCCATTTTTCTTTTTTTGCTCATTGGAGTTCACCTCTGAAAAATCTTTCAGTTTGCAAATATACAGAATCATATTGATTCTTTTAGGTTTTTTTAAACTGTGAGTCTAAGCGTCTTTGACTCTACTAGTTGTTTCAATAGCTTCAGTGTTATTTTTCAAAAGTGTTTAATGGAAAACTGGAGGATTTGGTAAAGGTGAATGTGCCGAACATTTTGAAAAGTACATACACGCTCCTAGGTGTGACTCTCTTTATCACAGGCAGATGCAACCCTTACGCAGTAGGAAGGCAAGTATTTAATTCCCCTGCACTGACTTGGGCAATGGCCCATGAAGAGTAAGGCTGAGCCCTCAGCTGTTAGGAAATGTGACTGCTACTCTTCTGCTCTTCCCATTTGGCTGATGGGGTCCACAGGGTCAAAGAAACTGCAATTCTGTGCTGGGCAGGTGAGTGCCAGCACCATGGCAGAAGCAGCGGGGGTAGCTAACTGGGAGGAGAAAGTAGTCTTTTTGGGAAATGGCACTCTGCTTGAAAACATACTTTATTCTGTCTTCTCCTTTTTAGTTACATTATGTTTGTTTATGGCAGATCTCAAGGAGTGGAAGAATAATATCTGAGAAAGAATACCAGCTAAATGCTATGAGGAGGGAGCACCAACAATACGTACAGGAGTGCCTGGCTCGGGCCATATTTCATAAGGTCCTTGACATAGAGGTACGCATTTACTAGAGATGTGTAAGCCTTTTCAGATACTTCCCTACTGACAGCCAGTGGCTGTTAACTCGTACTGTCCTGTTTTCTGTAGCTGTGCCCTCATGCTCCCCTGAAAGGCTCTCTCCTGCTGGGAAAAAGGACAATCTTTGTGCTCGATGTCCCCCACATGAAACCTCCACTGGCCTCTAGCTGTTTAACCATACTGTTGTTAGAACACTGTCCTGGTCACTTACTGCACTTTGGCAGTCGTTGGATTGTGGGATGATATTCACAGGGCTAGTTTGCTTAAAAAAATTCTAATCAAAACAAAATGCTTTGAACATAGTTATGTATCTTATCTGAGTACAAAATTTGGGCACATTCCTGTTACGTATCAAGAATGGACTTGGTCCCTACAACTTAACAAATGCTCAGTCATTCCCTTGCTGTTGTTAATACACACAGGTGTAATGCAAATGGATTGAATCAACAGTAGTTTTATAATAGGGCTCAATGAGGGCAGTGACTGGGGAGCAGGCAAGTGGTAAGCAGAACAGAAGCATTCATTGACATCTCATAATGCCCATTAATGAGATTTCTCTTTCTCTTACATGGACAGCGTCATCATCAGCTGGAAATAAAAAGGAAACTTGAAAATTCTTTGGGGAAGGAGAGGGTGCAGAAAATCAAGGTAAAGCTTGTGTGCTACTGAGAACTGATGGGCCATGGCAGTTTTGCCCTGTGTTAAATAACAGCCATGAGTCAGGCCAGAGATTCACTGAGTCAACAGTCCTGTCTTTGATGTTTATGGAAAAAGTACAAGAAACAGGCAAATAGAGGATGATCCTGCCCCCCCCCCCGGTTACATCTCCTTCCTCTGTCCAGCAGTTCCAGAACTTCCATTCATGCACGGGATTCCTTTTGAATCTGCTTACTATTTTGGTTCTTCAGTGTTGGTTGTGAAATGGAATTATGAATTGTATGAAATGGTACTTCCTTGCATTTCTGCACAATAATTAATGTATCTGCTGTCTGATAATTCTGTTTGATGCTCCATTGTTCTAGTTATGTAAAAAGTGAATAACTGTTCTGCTTTTCCAAGGTATTTGTGGTTTTACATACCTTTTGCATATTCCTTCTCAGTTTTCAAAGCTGAAGACCCTCAGTCTATTGCATCTTTCATACATGAGCCATTCCAGGCTTCTCATTACTGTTGCCATTTTTTTTACCTTTTCTAGTTCTACTATTTCTGTTTTGAAATGGGGAACCAGAATGGGATGAATAATTCAAGATATGTGCTGCAGTTCTCCTAGTAATTCTAGACACTATCTACTTTTGAGTGCTACAGAGCTCACGTTTTCAGTCATTTGCCTCTCCACATGATATTTAGCAGAACCAGCATGTAAGTAATGAAAAGAGGTTTCAGAAGTCTTCACTTTGATGTCATGTAGGTAGAGCTTGATTCTGTGGTTGTTCATGGATATCCCACAGAAGTCATTGATTCTTCTCCCCATGAAGTCACTTGGACTCATATGGGAAAAGTTGTTCTCCTTTTGGCTGAAATATACTCAACATCTTATTTTTTTATTAGGAGCCTGCACATATCGAGAAGAATGCACTGGGAAGCTAGCTGCTTCTTTGAACAGTTGAAAAAAATGTGAAATCTTTTTAATTTTAAATAATACATTTATGAGCAATTCATTAAGAAAAGAAAGGAGGAGATTTTAATGAAAAACACTGATCACTATGGTAATTGCAAAGGCATTATTTACTGACTGAAGTTCTGCTGGTAGAAAGTCACCACAGTGGAAGTACTGACTAAGGCACCCTATCAAAGGATCTTGGACTTGGATTGTTTTGGAACATAAACCCAAACTGCTTCCTTCAGTGAGAAGTATAAGGGAAATGCCTGCAGATATGTGATCTGTATCTTTGCTGTGATGCCACAATGGGACACAGGAACCCGACTGGAGTTAGCAGTGTAATTTAATTCTCACCTCATACATTCAGTGTATTCAGCTGAGTAGCTAATCTGAAAGGAAAGGAGAAAAGACAAATGACTGAGCAAGGGAGGATGAGAGACAGAGCTATCTATTTCCAGAAGCATAGTTAGTCCAACGTGGAGATTTTGAGAAGAAAAGGTAGGGAGGGCAGCAGTCAGAGCAAGGAAGTGGCAGGTGCACTCAAATTTAGAAAAGAAAGAGACCTTCAACCAAACCAAGAATTGGGAGATACACAGAAACAGGCAGATGAATTGAATTTGAGGGGATCAGCAGCTGGAGAAGGCTGCAGGGGAAGTCTTTTCCCTCGTCCCTCTCTCATTCTCCCCATGATTTCCTTTCTTTCCTTAACTAGGTGTTCCATCGGGTCTAGACACATTGATTGTCATAGCTGTCCGATGAAAGATGGACGGAAGGCAAGCTCAAACATTGCTGTTAGAGTATTTAGTACCTCAGAGATGTAAATTTCTGTTCTTTTAGGTGGAACGATCCAGAAGATCAGTGGAAGATGCCAGACCTATGCGGTCGCCACATCCACCCCTTGGTCCAAGAAATCATTATGGGCTCCAGCCTTTAGTGGCTGGAGAACCAACTGGTCACTCACAACTGGTGAGTTTCACCAACTGCTCCATGTGCTGCAGTGTAAGCACACGCAGCTGAAAGTGTGCACGTACACCTATGACATCTGTGCTTAGGCTAGAGCACTGACTGCCCCAATTGATCCAGGCTAGGGCCTCATCCTTCATCACTTGAGGCTGATTTCCTGTTTGCAGGATCATGTCATTAAAGAGAAATCTTGCGAAGCTGGTGTTGCAGGAATGGCACATCAGAACCTGGAAAAAATAGCTTTGCTTTGTGATAAATTTGTTTTAATCTTTCCCTTTTATCTGCCTTGTCACCCAAGGTTAGGCTGGTATCAGTACATTGAGTATTGTCAATGAATACTGTGGCTGTCGGCAAGTTTACACGTGTTGTAAAGTCCTGAAAATGATGGAGGTCTTTTAGAAAGCAGAGTTGAAGGGGTGAAACAAGACTAAAGGTCATTCCAGAAGGCCTTGCCTTGGAGCTGTGGTTCAGAAGCCTCTTACTCTGTTTAACAGGCAGAGAAGGAATGTTAATATACTCTTGAAATATGATAATACTAAACTATAATGATACTAAAATCTAAGGTCGAAAGTCAAATATATAGTTCAGTTTTAACTGGTTCTCCATTTCAATAATGATAATTGGTGCAGACTGAAGGGAGACTTCCAGTCCTGAGTGACCGCCTCCTCTCCGTACAGAGGGCACCTGGACCTCTAGTTGATTATGCTGGTGGACACCCTCCTCATCAACGCCGATGCAAGGAACCTGTCTTTTCTAAGACGGTGAGTTAACCCCGTTAAACAGGTTTTTTAGGTTTTAACATTTTAACTTGGTATTCTGAAGGGTATACAAGGAAAAGATGAAATAAAAAAGTCAGAAAAATGCTGAGTATTGAACAGAAATAGCCATGCTTTTGTCGTGCATTCTCGTTGTCCGTGTGCTGACGTCACCAAAACAGCACACTGCTACAGTTTCTCTGAGTTCACGATGTTTGCTTCAAGGCCGCACTGTGATGAGACAGTAGCAAAACCTGTATTTATGGCCAAGTGTTATTTTGGATGCTCCAGGTTTTGGATGCTCAATTACACATGCCTAAAGGGGTCTGGCTTTTTGGAGCAGACTAGAACATTTCATTTCCTGAAGGTACCTGAGAATCACTCATCCCTTCCAAATATCTTGATCAGTGCTATTTTTTTCCTTTTTTTCTTTATGATGGTGCTCTGCACTGGCAACTATACACTGAGATTTTGTAGCTGTTTCCATTTTCTTTTTCCTTTTCTAGACTTCCTGGCGACCAAATACAGCTCCGGGAAATATGCAACACCCACTTCGACTCCAGCCACTTCGCAGCTGTGCTGTAGAAGGGTCTATACCAAAGACTTCAAGCTCTAAACAGAAGTGCCACACACTTGAACATGATCAGCAGTTTGCCAGTGGGGTGAGGCCATATTTCATTCTGAAAAATAATGTAATTTTAGGGACAGCTTTATAATACTGCCTTAGTACTGTAGTTCCCAGAGCTGCATACTGCAGGCAACATGCCTTCCAGATGGTTGCCAGCTTTTATTTAAACTCTCCTTTTTAACCTCCCCTTATTTTTCTAGACATTGTTTTACTGGTCTAATGCCCAGTTCTTGATCACAGTGAGGAAAAATATGGTGGCTTATCTTTTATAGTATAAAATCTCTCTGCATGCAAAATTTTCTCACTCTACGTAGATTTTCTGTTACATGGAGAAGGAGGCAGCCACTTGGTTAACACCAATAACTCATGAATATTTTCACACAGTCTCACAAGTTTTTATATTCATCTACAGCTGCAAAGAAGCAAAAAACTTCCTTTTTTTTTTTACCATTCCTCCTACTAAGTCACACTAGCGGGTTCAGAGAATGAGAGCTTTTTGGAATAGCCAAACATGATCTTGATGTGTACGCAGTTACTTTTAGGTGAGATTTGGACTTGTCTTCTGATCTAGAACAACATTATGTAATTGACTTTGTGTTAGGAGTTCCATGGGACTGGAGGATTTTGGAATGAGACCGTGACCTGCTACCATTGACTGGCAGACACTGTAAGAATAGCCCCCTTCTGCTGTGCATTTGCTCTGTGTTGTGATGCTCATGAGCCTTTCTCCAAGAATTTGCTGGCACTATCTATGTCTAGTCAAATTACAGGTTATTAAATTTTTTTTTTTAATGCTTGCTACTGACAAAACAGCTAAATCAGTCATAGATTATGAAGACATGATGCTGAGCTCAGATCCAGAGTGTGCAACATTTGCAGAATTTATTCTCTAGGGATATCTTGCTTTTCAGGGCCCTGGACCCTCTGTTAGCATTTCATCCTGAAGGAGGACTAAACCTCCACTACAAATGTGAAAGAAGCGTTTTGAACCACATCTTGTATAATTGATGCCAAATGATGTTACTGTTGAAGATTCTGGCTGCTTTGGAATTTGCTTGCCAGCTGAGAGAACGCAGCAGTGCTGTGGGGTTGTGCAATATTCTGTCTGCTTGTGATCAGAACTCTGCATGGTTACAAGCACCACATGGCTTGCAATGTTGTATATATCTATGGGGGTGACATTTTCAAGCAATCTGCCTGTTGCTTTGCAAATTAAAAGAAAAGGTTTTAGCACAGAAATGTTTTCATGAACAAAATTGCAAACACCAAGTTAAGGAATTGTTCTAGAAGTATGTGTGGTACTAAATGTAAAGAGCAGCCAAACCCTGGCTAGTTCAATACGCTTGGTAGCTTATTCTGCATAACCTATTTAACCTGGTTAAAATGTTTTTGCAGGGGCAGAGGAGTGGATTAAGACTTATGAATTCAATGGGATATGTGACTGGTATATCCCCATATCAACTGCCCGTCATTAACAATTATGTGATACCAGTGCCACCTCCGCCCCTGCAAAAAGGAGACAAGAATGTAAATGCGGTGAGAGATGGGATGCCCAGAGGGAGACGACTTCATCCCACCACTGCACCAAATGGCTTAGAGCAACTTTTAACAAAGGTAAGTTATCTCTGTCTACTTCTCTGTTTACGCATCGGTATATTACCTTCCTCATTGGTGTATTTGCCTAATGCTGAAAGATGTGTATACCTAGTTTGCATAAAGATTCACTGAATTTTTGAAAGAAAGAAAATTTATAACTATTAAAATACATAACTGCCACCCATCTCTATATATACTAAAACATTTGGTGTTTTTCATTAGCGGGGGAGGGGGGGGAAAGGGTGCTTGAACAAAACCACCATGGGAACTCTTACTCAAAGCCTCCCATTTTAGTCAATCTGATCCTATCTCTGACCGTATCTACTACCAGAACTTCAGAGGGATATATGAAATGCCTTGAGCATATGAAAACTTCATCTGTTACACTGTCTCTCCAGCCAGTTTTGACTCCTGTAAATTAAATTGTAGGACCCAGGATTGGGAGGAACGATATGGGTCATTAAACACGATCCCTGCAATTTTTGGCAATTCAATGCAATGGATTTTCAGTTCAAAATATTTTTCTGCCCTTCTGCATGTTACAAAACACTTTCCAATTTAAGCAGCTCAAGATCTGTCTTAAAAGACTGGAACCCTCAAGTGTCTGCTGTGCATATATGATCTTTGTGTTCACCTTCTGTCAGAGTTGGAAGCTGAATGCATTTTTTGTGTGTCTCCTGCTGCAGAATTCTGGAGGATTCCCGAAGTCCTCGTTACGCAGCAACGCATTTGTTACTATGGTCTTTCTAGGAAAAAGTGTGCATTTATCTCACAATGACACTGATTACAGAGATGAAATCAAAGTCTATCAGCAGCATTGTGGAGGAGAAAACCTTTGTGTCTACAAAGGCAAGCTATTGGAAGGAGGTAAGGATAAAGAGTCAAAGAGTTCATACTGATTGTGGCAAAATCTTTTTTTTTTTTTTTTTTGGCTAAAATGTTGATGTGATACCAAATGCTTTCAGCTGAACTCAGTCAAGATACACACATCCAGGGATTTTTATACCATTTACCTCCACACTGAATCTGGATCTACTGTTTCATGACTGAGGGTGAGGTTACAATTACTTTTGCAAGTTATGGTAGAAGGAGTTTAGAGAACTGATTTAACACAATACTGTAGCTTATATTCATTTTGTATAGAGAAGTATGGTTAATAAAGTGGTTGTAGCAATAAACTGTCCTTAAATAGGGGTTATCTGTTTCTAACTTGCTCTAATACATCAGTGCATGTTGCTTATTATTCCAGAAGAAAAAGTACATAGTGGGAGCCCAATTCCCATCTCTTTTACATGATTCCATCACACCAGTAAAAGGTGAATTGTGTTCTGGGAAATTGAGAAGAGGAAATGGCTGGGAGATTTTCACCTATGAGGAGGAGTGATTCCACAGATTATTCCCCTCATTCCAGCTCACAGAACCTGCTGTGTTTGTGTTTGCATTTTCACTGGATATGGGAAGACGGTGCAGAGATGCCTGCACTTCGGCCTGCCCCCCGAGGTTATGGGTGCACTGCGGTGTTAAGCGTGTGCTGGAGCTGTGCCGCAGCTGTGCAAAAGGTGTCCTTTGTGTGTGCTCCTGTTGTCCCTGTTCGGGAACCCGCTGAGTACAGCGTGGCTTCCTCCCTGCTGGTGTGTGCTCAGTCTGCTTTGGAAGGTACCACAGTTGTGGGTTACGGGAGTACAACCCAGCCCCCCCGGCACGAGCGGGGGAGCAGCCTCAGTGCCCTCATGGACGGCTCGGATGCCCAAAGTGCCCTGGCAGCGTAGCCTGAAGTGGCTCGTGGCTCCAGAAACAGCATCTTTCAGCTGCTCCGTCTTGCTCCGAGTAGGACCGTATTAGTGCAGGCGCAGCGCCGCAGTAGTGCAGCGGTACTGATCTGGAGCCTGGCTGCACTCTGGAGGAATGCCTGCGTTACACTGCGGGAGCTCTAACGTACTGCTGCACTGCACCATTTAGACACACGCCAGGAATCCTAAACTTTCTGCGCCTAGTGCACACTCTTGTAGGGCAAGTGGCAGAGTTAATCTTTTTGAGATGGGAGGCTCTGGTTTCTGTTCTGCTGTAGCGTGAGTGGCCAAACTGACGAGGTATTCGCTTGTCACAGACGTGTCCAGCTTGGTACGCTGGGGTTGGAGGGTGGCAAGGTCTGGGAAGGAGGTAGAGTTTTACCAACTAATTAATACAGCCGAGAACCCAACCCAGAGGGCTGGGTGCTTTGGTGGCGATGCAGATGAGAGACAACGATTGCAATAGGATGACAGCAAAGCATAACCTTTCTCTTTGAACTCTTTTCTTTCTGTGATTACAGAAGCCTTTCAGTTTGTCTCAAAGAGGCACCATGGTTTCCCGTTCAGCCTCACCTTTTTTCTCAATGGGATACAAGTGGACAGGTTGAGCTGTTGCTGTGAGTACAAACATCAGAAGCGTTCCAGGCTGGGAGGCAAACGTGGATACTTCGGGTTTCTTAATGTGGAGGGAGCATCTCCTTGCTACAGGTATGGAGACAAATACGCTTTGCTCACAAGGACTTAGCAGCCCAGTTTTTAGGGAGTTTATCACTTGTTTCCTCTTTGTTAATCTTTCTGGCACCCCACAGCTCTGTAGAACCTCATCTGTTTCTTGAAAGGTACAGAATTGAGCTTATCCCTCAGGGTCCCACATCCAAGGATGCCATCAAAGTCAGCTACTTCTGTGCTGCCTCTTCAGTCACTCTGTTGAGTGACCGTGTCGCACTGGGTGTGCTGGCCTGTCGGGAGGCAGTCGGCGCTTCCTCAACAGTCGAGCACAGAGGAGTAGGTGTGGGGTGGTATACATACGCCACTTGTGTGTTTCTGGTGGAAGTGATAGTGAAATAAATATCAAGAGTACCGCTGAGTTAACTGTAGTTTTCAGGATTTTCCTTGTGATTGTGGGAAGAAAAATTATTTTTAAACAAACAGCTCTGCCTGTAAGGTGGGATTCTGCTGTAATACCCCCGGCTGCAGAATAGGAGAGTGTTGAATGTTGGCCATGTTTCAGAGAGCACATCTGTGCAGAACGTTCCTGGTTTGGGACAAAAGTCAGTGCTGTGAGCAACAGCTGTAGTTTTGCCAAGAAGCTTTAATTTTAATATAATCTTCCTTTTGTGTGATTGTTAAGATGTGCCAGGCAGGTAAACTTCTGCACACATGGATAATTTTAAAACTTTTTTGTTCTTTTTGTAAGTAATTTTTAAAAGAGCATCAAGCAGTTGGAAGAAGAGAACCTCCACAGAGCTATACTCTATTTTTTAGATAAGGACCCAATTCTAAGAAAAAAAATTCTACTTTATTGTACCATATTTTTTGTACTCCAATCTAACATTGAACGTGATTTATGTAAATGTATTACTTAATATGTTCAAAGTAGTGAAAAGCATCTGAATTCAGAATGGATATAGAATGGACCTTCTGTCCCCCTTCCCCTCTTATTCTTAGTGATATCTCTGTTTTCCTGTCTCTTGTCAGTCCAGCCAACCTTGTCTGGTGACTAAAAACCATCTCCATTAACCAGATTCTCCCTGTAAATGGCAACTATTTTCACGTCTCCTTCAGGTCAAATGCAGTTGTATTTTTTTCCTGTTTTGCGTATGACACCACATCCACGCATTAAGTTCCCCCTTGGATTCTCAGTAAAGATCCCAGTTGATTTCCCCTGTTAGGTTAAGGCTTTGGTTCACAAAGAGGTGATGCCGCAGTGATTTCTACACCGATGCTGTGATCCTTGCACAGAGTTGTCTGCTTGCCGAGGTCCAGCATTTCTGTACGGCAGAAGTGCTTCAATATCTCAAAGGTCCCTGAAAAACATAGCATGAACAAATAATTAAAAGGTAGGAGTCTTTTCAGAAATTGTCACATTTACATTTTATGCCCGCAAAACTGAAGGATTTCTAGACTGACGGTTTATACTTCAGTTGTCACCTTCGAGTGCAGGCAGTGTTACTCTCCTTCAAGGAGGAACCGCATCTGTATTTGTGGAGCACTGGAGGATTTTAGGATCCTTCTCCAAGTCAGTCGTTACCAGTAACCTTGCTGTCTGAGTGGCAATGCAGAGGCAGATAGGTACCTGGTTTTACTGCTGATAACGAGCGAACTAGCTCACTGTGTCTGCTGCCCTTCCATTGTTCACAGAAGGAAAAATGTGATACTTTCCAATTCTCCTTGGGTTTTTATAGGTGCATTATTGCAATGGATCTGGACAAAAAGCCATCCCCTCCCAAGAGAAAGATGGAGAACCATGAGGAAAAGCATGTGGGTTCCTGGAGAGATGGAGTGCGCAATGAGCCAAGTAAAAGCAGTGTTGAGCAGAAACCAAGCAAAGATTCAGTGTTAGTCATCTTACCAGGTCATGAAGTGAGTGTGGACACTATTGAGGACAAAATGGAGACCGGACAGGAGTACAGAAAAGAAGAAAGGAAAAAACTATCTGATCGTGAGAGTGAAGATAGTCAGGAAGACACCGGTAAAAATGGTACAGTATTCCAAAACACAAGCAGGGGATGAAAAATGGGAGAGGATGATTCTGGAGAAGGTATGGGATTGTGGGCTTCCAGCTTTGCCTGGAGCATCCTCTCTTAGGACACCTCATGTATAACAAATGTAGTGATGCCTGTGTCTGGGCAATAAAATTAGTGGGGCTCCTTTCGGCCAAGCAACAGGATGAGAGTGTTCTGCAAGAGCCAAGAGAGTGAGTAAGGAAGGTCAGAGGGGCTGAAACAGGAGCCTGAGGTAGGGGGGAAAGCAGGAGGAAAGTGGGGCACAGTGAAGGGACCACAGTGAAGAGCAGAGTGGCAGCAGGTGGAGGACAAGTAGGGCAGAAGGAAGAAACGGGACTGGGTGTAGGAGGGGGGACCGTGAGTCTGAGGTGAGCTCCTAAGGAAGAGAGGACATCAGCATAAGGTGAATGGAGAGAAAACGGTGGCCATAGGGGCGGGAGGTGGAAAAGCCTCCTGCTGCCTCGTTCGAGATGGAGGGGAGGGAGGAGGCTGAATGCTGGGTGCAGAAGGGGAGAGAGGGTGGGAAGAGCACATAGCAGCAAAATGTCAGCAAGATGTAGTGCCAGATGAACTATTTTGATCTTTTCTCCTGTCTGTTGCCAGTGGGAGTGCGATGCCTTGTTCACCTAAGGGTCTTTCCAGTCCCTTCTCCACCACACTGTCCCAGGCACCGCTTACCTGACACCTGCCCAAACCTCCACCTTCCTCACCTGTCTGAGCATTTGTTCCCTCTGCTCCAGGTCTACCAGCTCACCTTTCTTACCTTCTGTGCTCCGACCACAGGGACTATCGTCCTTTCCCTTTACCGAACGCTCCCGGTGCCTGTTGTACCTGGCTGACCTTGCCGCTTTCGCTTGAGCCCCATCTCATTTCTGTTGACAGAGGTTTAAAAAGAAAGACCGGAGAGAGGCTGCCCTTGCTGAAAGTTTGCCCAAGGGGTGTTTCTCGTGGCAGGCAAGGATGGAATCTGTGGTATAAAACTGACGTGTGGCAGCTCCAGCTGCACACCCAGAATGTGCTGTGTGCCTTGTGCCACCTCCGGCCAGTCCCTGTTGCCGTCAGGCTGCTCACGGGAAGAGAAGGGGAGCTCAGCCTGTGCCTTCACTCACGCCTTATTATAGGCCTTTTTTAGAGCAACTCCAAGTTAGAGAGAGATTTTAATTCCTAGTCCTATTTTTACTTTCATAATTCTGCAGTGCTGCTGCTCAGCTTCCTCGTTAGTCCCTGTGGATGTGTGTTTGTGATTAATCAAGCCTTTTTCCTTGCAGGAGGTGGGCACCTTTCTGACAGTTACCTGAGGAGGCCTCACTTCCAACAATGCAGTTGGAATCTCAATTGATTTTTAATACAGAAAATAGATCTCCTTATTCCCTTAATTCTCATTGCCTGGGTAATTGTTTATTTGCCTAATTGGTTCTGCATCAGATACTCTTCATTTCTGTCCTTGGCATTCTGTCACTTCAGTACTTTAAAAGCACTGATGGAAAGAAAAAGAGATGAGCAATAAAATCTGAAAGGTGAGAAATTATGGCCACGAGGGACAGCTGGTGTGTCAGCAGTGACAGCTCTCCTTCACAATTTTGGTTTGGTGCCTCTCTGCTGCATGCACAGTGAGCTAGTGGGAGCAGTGGAATTACTGGATTTTAGATGGAAATCACTGACATCACTGTGCGTGCTGGTGCCTGGGGTTTTAAATAGTGCAGCCTTGGCTGGAAAGGGAAGGATTCTTTAATGCATATGCATGAAGAAAATCTTTACCTATAGATCTGAGCAAAGCTATCTATCAAATGTCAGGCTAGTAGCCTGGGATGAAATCCAGACCGTGTTGATGTAAAAGTGGTTAATTCTTCCATAAGCTTCATTTGTACCAGGATTTCACCTGGGACCTGAAGGAGCATCTCAGAGCAGTGTGATAACAGACTGTTCCTCTGTAGCACCCTTTGGCTGGGTTTAATTAATTCATTTAGTTTGTAAGCCACTTCTTTGCTAATTAGCCATGTCAATCCACATTTATCTTACTTTGTGCTATAATATATTACCTTTCTCCAGCTTTCTCTATTGCTTGGTGGTTTTTTTTTTTGTTGCAACAAGTTTTTCTCCTACAATAAGAGACTGTCTTGCATTTTATTTCTGAGTTTGCCCAGCTCTTAATTTTTCTAGTCCTTTCAATGGCTAATGATTTTGTTTGTTTTGTTTTTAATGTATTAATCATACTTGATGCATCATTCAGTAGCTTTACTGCATTTTTGCTACTCTATCTATGAAGAACATGATACTTTTTTATGATAATGTGCTCTTATGATTCCTGTCTGTGGTCTTCGATTCTCTGATGGCTTTAAAAAGACTGAGCAAATGCAAAGGCAAAAGGAGATTAATGAAGTTAACCTCTGTCTGCTTAAAAAGACCTTATTAGTTGTGAATTCTGTTTCCTGTCTCACAGTATGATTCTTTTATTTTAGAGTATGATGAAGATTTTGAAGCAGATGAAGAAGTTAATGAAGAGCGACAGACTGGGGTTCAAATGAATGGAATGTCAAAGTCATCCTCAGATGATAAAAAACATGATTTAGACTATGAAAAGGACAGTAAAACCTTATCACAAAAGGCACTGCAGGCCTCTGACAGCGAGAAAGATGGAAGTGATGGATATTCTGACAGTGAGTCAGAGGATGATAAACAAGGTTAGTTTTTCTCATCATGAAGCTTAGAGAAGTTGACCTGATGCATGTTTTACATATTGTGCATGTCCAGTACATATGTTGAGTCTGCATGGGAAAACTCATGCAATCCCTACTGAATTGGTGGTAAAAGATACCTATTTTCTTTGTTACTAATTTTACCGTCCGTCACTGAAATAGAGCCAAACCCACTGGCAGTGTAAGGTGTGCCAGCTCACAGCAGACATTGCTGAACTATTTACTTGCAGCAATGGAGATGGAGCCAGCCAGCAGATTAGCTTTAAATACTTGGGGCAGATCATCACTTCATGTCAGTGGTCACCGACATCCGTGAAGTGATGACCACTTACACCTGCTGAGGATATGCACTTTTATCTGAGAAGTCACCAGGAAACCAGACTTACCACCTTGTATTTGGGCAGTGCTGTCTTTAATGGCCCTGACTAATCAGAACCTCAGCTTTGCACTCTGGTACATCACGGACTCTGTCTTGGCTCAGGGAGGAAACGTCCCTTCTACCAGCAATGGTTTGGCAATGTTGAGGGTCCTTGTTCAAGTCCGGCTGTGAATGAGTAAGATCCGGAATCAGTATGATAGTTTGTGATTCTTGATCCAAATGTAGGTACAAAAGTGTGCAGTGAAGTGTCCAAGACCATTATTATTATTAATTCAGAGCGGTTAAACTGCTCTGGACTATATTTTTGTAGAATAAGTAACATTTTCTGTCATTCAGTTTTTTGGATCAGCACTTTTAATGCCTGGTGTTTTAACCATTGGCCTTCATGCAGCCTGTGCAACTTCATGAATAATCCCACAGCAACCTTGCAGGCAATTTCTCATTTATTAGACGAACAATAGAATTCCATTCACCACGTGGTGAGTACATCAGAAGTGAACTGCCTCTTCCTTGGGGCACAGCAATTTATTTCTCTCTAACATTTCTCCTCTATGGCTTTGTTAGATCCTGAGCTGAATTATCTGCTTCTCGCTTGTCATAATGTACCAGGATTTCTCCATTTACTGCTGTTGTAAAATTAATTACTTTGTGTTCCTTACATTTGACAGTCCTAATGTGCAAACTATTTCTCAAGGTAAATGGAAACATTACTTTCACATTTGTATTTCTAGGTGAATTAAGCAAAGGTAATACAGCTGTTTGTGAAAAGGTTGCAGCTGCAAGAAAGATCCAGTCTTTTTATAGAACGTATAAAATCCAGCAGAAATTCCAATCAGGTTTGAAACATCCTTACTTATTATAACATTGCAGTGATCAAAAAGAATCTTAATTTTTGTTTTCTTGTGATAATCAGAAATAGCTTGTGAATCATGAATAATCAGTACAATTAAGCATTCTTTTTTGCTTGTTAGTGTATGGCATTATAAACTTTTTTGTGACTTCAGTCACTGCTTCTCAAGCTGTAGTAGTGTGTGATGATCAAGTGGAAGTGTGTGGATGCATAGGTGTGTATAGGTGCAAAGGAACAGGTAACTGTAAGGGCCTTTCATGGCTACCTATACATTAAGGCCTTCGTTAAGGGCCACCCTTATTCACCATTGTTTGTACTGGGATGTAATAGTGCTGCATGCGCCGAAACTCACTAATTCGATACACATTTTTCTGTGATGAAGAGAAAAGGCTGTTGGGAAGCCATCAAATCTTGAAATCTATGGACATTTAACGTCAGCAACTAACAGTGTAAACCAGCGAGTCGTCTTGGCAGGGGTTCCACCAGGGGTGCCACCGGCTGACAGGCACTGCTAATGTTCCTCAATTTGTACTTGCCACAGCTTGCTTTGTTCTCCTTTACTGCAGCAGCTCAGGACGAGTGTTTAAATCGTTGACATTCTCTGTGGTTTTAAATAAGACAGGCTTAATCATCTTTCTCAGCAGCCTGATTTGCTGCTTCTATCTTTTACATCAGCACACTAACACAGTATTCATCAGCTACCGCTTGCATCTCACCTGGCAATCAGTAGCGGATGGGTGTCCGGCGCTGGCAGCATTGCCTCCGTGGGAATGAGGGAAGGGGCTCTCAAAGGTGCTTCTTGAGCAGCTCACCACTTGGAATCAGTTTTCGCTTTGGCCCACACGAGCTGTGACTTCTTAACCTTTTCACTGTGACTTTTGGAGAAGGGAGGCAGAGCAGCTGGCTCTACTTCATTTTCCCTGTTGCATTTGGTAAGGATGTAAGGAAGAGACAGGTGATGTTCTGATTTGGTATTTGGTATTTTAGTGTGAGGAGTGGTTATCCAAATATTGGATGGAGACCTAGAGGGGCTTTTAGAAGTCTCGTTGTGTAAGTACAATAAATAATGGAAGAGGCATGGATTAGGAGCTAGGGATACTGGTGGAAAAGCCGTTTCCATGATCGTTGGTTATACTGTGAATGCATCTGTTCTGTCCTCTGAGCTCGGTTTGATTGCTCGCCGTAGGTGTAAGCGATGTCAACAAGGAGAGCCATGCTTCCAACATTTGTCTTCTCGGGGCAGAAAGCCTGAAGGTGTTCTGCAGTCCTTATTTAGCACAAGTAAACGGTGGACTGTAACATTAGATAAGGATGTTTTAAGGTCACTGCTAGCTTTGGGTGACATTTCAGATCACTGGAATTTTGGATTTCTACAGACTTTACATTTAAGGTGAAGGTCGGGATGACTTTTTTGTTCTGGCTGTAGTGAGTGATTGATCTTCAAAGAGATTTCTACACTCGAGGTGGTAGAAGTATTTAGAAGCGAGTTGGTATCTCCTCCTTCGCACTCGCAGAGAATGTGTTTACAAACAGTAAATAGTGGAACCCAAACGGTGCAGGGCATTTCCTTCTGCATGAACAGGAAATTTGTTGTAGTAAGGATTTGTCATCTCCCAAATGTCTGTTTACTCTTTACCTGATGGCATTAGAGTCCTCATCTAGTTTTATCCAGATTTGTTTTCAATCCTTTAAAGAAAATGGTATTTTTTTGCATTGTTTTTGTTAACCACTCTAGGCATTGATTGAGCACAAAATGCCTGTGATTTTTCATTCCCGTTCCCTATTTGTTGATTTTTTTATATTTTCCCCTTTGTAATGAAATTTTCCCTTTTTTTTTCCACCACTGAGCAGAAGAGGTCGAGAGAAGGGATAAAAAAGATGTGGGCTTTTCCCAACTGAGATGTAATAATAAATTTATGAAAAATAAGAATTCATTGGTAATTTTGAGGACAAGAAGAGCTTTCTGTTTGAAGGAAGGACCTTTACTCTCTGAAAAGAGTCTCCATGAAATATTTCAAGCAGCTGTAGTAGCAACTACTAGTTCAATTTTTTAGGAGATTATTAAAATGCCTAATAGGTCTCAACAGTTGAAGATTTTTCTGAATATTAATTGTTAAAAAGAGTTTTCTTTATTTTCACTTTTAAAAAGAGTTTAATTTAACTCCATTGTTCTTAGTTATTCCTTTTTGCACAGCCTTAAGCAGTTTTTTCCCTTCTTTATATTTACATTTACAATTTCTCCAAGACAGCATATCCCCTGCCTGAGTCATCATTTTTCCCAAATTCTACGTAGTTGTTCTCTTGTAACTGAATACATATACCTCTTTAATATCCACCTCTTTTCCACTTACCTGAATTGCCATTTCCCTAATGTATCCAGTGGTGACAGAGAGATCTAGAAATTAATATATTGTCTCAGGGGAAACATCTGTAAAGGAACTCCCTTCCTCAGTCCCTTGAATTCTCTAGTGGTGGCAGAATGGGGTCCTTTAAGTAGTGTAAGGTTTGTAAGATTTCTTTGTACAACATGTTTTTCTGAACATGCTGTTCTGCGTGGCTTACAGTTCTGGCGTGTGGATGGCATGTGAGTGGAAGCGACAGTTAGAGAAGGAATTCTCCCTCTTCTCCCTTCCGTGTGAGTGCCTAACTTGTGTGAAATTCTGTGACTATCTATTTTTCAATACTGAGTGCAAGGCCCCACTGAGGTGTAAAGCTTGATGCTCCATAGTGCACCTTGCAGAGTCTGGTATTGATGACAGTGCTTGCATAAATAGGGTGTTACTACATTAGCAATTTAGTCCACAAGATGAGCTCATTTTAGGTGCAGATCTTCTCACGGAGTCATGCACAGCACCCAATAACACACCACTCATGTCCTCCGTGCACTTTTCTGTGTGAGGGCATCGAGGCTGAGCCCCCCCCGGCAGTGTGCATGCAGGATCCTCCAGCATCTCAACGCCGTGCACGTGGAGTGCACGCCGAGCGCTGGGGGCTAGCGTGGAGTTGATTGCCAGCTGAGGAAGGGTGTAGATACATGGTCCTGGAGTGGTAACAGATCACAGCAAATCAAACCTTGGTCCTTCCCTCTTTGGGAGCATAGATGTAGAGTACATTCAGAGTAGCCCTAGTGCCATCTCTAGATGCTGTTTCTAGCTCTCATCTTCATTAAGTAATGTTGGGCCCATGAACGCTGTTTTGGGAGTTACTTAGCTATTGTATCTCTTAGCCCTAAGGTACGCCCTGTTTCCCCTTGCTTTAAAAATGTGTTACCTTCTGGGCTGGCAAGGCTTACAACTGAGTGTGAGCTGTCGAGCCCTCAGTTATACAAACACCCCGTGACTTGATCTCTGCACTTAGCGATGTCAAGGTTAAAACTGTGAAGCTGTTATTCACATGTGTCCTGGCGTCCGTCAGCATGGACATTTACTTGTTTGATCTGGTAAAATGGGTCTTTGTGGAAGTGTTACTGGGGCACCACGCTAGTGACAGTAACTCGTTTTCTCCGGACTTGCAGAGGATAACAGAGCTCTGTTGGGTTTTAGATCTGTTACCTACAGTTCAGCTCTTGAATTTGTCTTTCGGCACACAAGTGATTTAATTTGCAAAGTTATGTACCCTTGTGGCTGCTGTTAATGTCCATGGCTACTCAGACCCCTGAAATCACTCTGCTCCTCTGCGGTGGCCAGCAGAACATGTTCAGCTAAAACATTTAGGAAAGTCCCACTTCCAGCCTTGTTATTTTTTTTCTTCTTCTTTTTGCT